CCCCAAAACCCCAAAACCCCAAAACCCCTGGTTCAAAAAATAATTTTGAATTAAATTTAAATGGAGAAGGTATACAACAAGCTAAACCGTTTGACCATAAGTGATTTTGAAAAAATTCTGAATGACCTAAATATCAGCCATTCACGCTGTAAGACAAAGAACGATTACATCAGAGCCTTCCTTAAAAAGAAAGCGAGATCTGCTAAGCTCACACCTAAGAAAATAATGAAAAAGCGTGCTAAGAAGATTAAGGAGGGAAAAGATTTTGATGAGTCCTCAGTCAGCAGTTACTACTCAAAGTGTATCATTGAAGATATGGAGGATTCAGATGTTCATAATGTCGAAAGCTTCATCAAACATGCCAAACCATCTAGGTAATACACGTTCAAACTCACATTTAGATCTAAAAGTTCCAAATCCAGGAAGAGAAGAAAGAGTACTCCCAAAAAGACGAAGAATAAAGCAGTAAAAGTTCATGAGAAGGAGGAAGTATCTACTCTTTTTCAAACACTTCCTTCACCTAGTAGGAAGAAGATTCAGAAGAAGAGTACTGGCCAGCCAAAATCCAGTAAGAGGGTAGTAACTAGGCTATCTGCATCAGCAACCTCGACTCCTAAGAAATTAGATATAATCTCTGAAGCTTTAAGATCAGAGTATGAAGAGACTCCTTACAATGGAGTCGTTATCTCAGAAATAAGTGAGAGAGAAGAAGTCTCATCATCTGATAGAGAAATATGTGAAGAGCCATACCCTTTTTCTCCGGATACTCCTGAAAATACGAGAGATCAGCTCAGAAAGAGAAACGGAAGACCTACCAGGATGGAAATCAAGGATCATACTCCAATTAGATCAATCTTAAGACAACCAAGAGAGGATATACAAAACCCTGAAGAGAGAAGAACTCCTCTGAAGAGGTTAATAGAAATGCAGCAGAGGTTCATGACTCCAGTTAAGAAGTTTGCCTCAAGAGTTCAAAGCCGTGTAGAGGGTTCATACCTGATAAAATCAGAAATGGTTAGCACAATCTTACTAATCTCAATGGTGACTGCCTTTATGCTAGCAGGAGCTATCAATTATGCTGGAAAGGTTCCAGCAGCCAATTATAGATTTCCAGTAAATGCTACCATCAAGCATATGGAATACGATAATTTAGAAAGAGCTTATGTCTGTCAAGAAGGCACCCTCAGTGTTGGACATTTATGAGCAAAAGAAGGAGATCAAGACTATATTGATGAAGTATTAGCAATCAACTCAGATTTTGATGAGCTTATCCAGAATTATGACAGATGAGGTGGTATTGTTAACCCTATTGTGAGACCAGTAGCACACCCAGAGACCATGAAAGAAATAGCAGAAAATGACTTATTTAAACATAGGATTCAATACAAAGAGTTAGGAGCTGGGGAATATAGTTTTAGTATCCATAAGGACTTCAAGGTAGTTCCAACGTCATTAAGTCGTATCCAGTGCTCTTTAAAGAACTTGTTTGGCACAGGAAATGGAGCAAAAATACTGTTGATATTCTTACTGCTACTAGTAATAGCATTTGCTTGATATAAAGGTAAGTTATTACATTCTGCTTAAGTTTTAAATTTGATATCCTTTAACCTGCTAACTGCTTTAGTCTGCCAAATCATCCAAGAAAGTGACACAAGGACAGCAAAGAAAATTTTTAACCTGATACTAAGAGAAATGAGGGAGACTGGGATGTACAGAAATGGGTTGGATCCAAGCAACATTTACACATGGTATTCCTCAAAGACAGATCTCACAAAAGAAGAATTTGATTCCAGAGTGCTCCCTTGGATTCAAGTCTATTTCAATGAATCAGAGATAATCAGAAGCACGATGAACAGAACTGGAGTTGCCGTATGGAAACTTGTGGAATAATCATGCTTTAAAATTTTCAATGAGAAATTTTATTAAAGGGGTTTTGGGGTTTTGGGGTTTTGGGGTTTTGGGGTTTTGGGG